GTTCTCGGTTTAACGTATACTACAAATTTTGTTTAGATCATTAAGGCTAAAAAGTATTCTACCGTAAATTCACTATTTACGTCTCCCGGTGCCGTAGCGGTTTTGCCGTAAAACTTCGACGGGCCATAACTTCTTAGTTATAACTCGGATTTCGGCGTTCTTTATATGTACGGAACCCTTGTAACATATACTACAACTTGGTTAAGATTAATCCTTCTAAATAATCTTCCATCAAAAACTCATCTTTGATGCTCATCGTCTCTAAATTGACTAACTCGGATCTGCGGGCGTTACACTGCTGCAATTGTGCTTGTGGGAACAATTAGAGACAAGACATGGGTACGCCACCAGGGGCAGGAAGAAACAACTCCTACGTGAAGAAGCAAACATGTTTTCACTGTGGAACACCTGGACACATTGCCAAAAATTGTCCAAATCGCGCATACGTTCCCTACTATGCACAAGGCTGGCTGAACGAACAAAGAGGGAGATCTTTCAAAAGAAATCCTTCAAGGTCATATTCAAACAATGGTGACTGGAATGCCAAAAAGGCCAAGAATCCAACTCCCAAGGACAAGAAGGGGAATGCCGGCCAAGAAGCCAAATTCAAGAGATGCTCTAGTGAAATCAAGACCGGTTAGGTCAAAGCCATCTCGACGGCCGACTTCAAGTCCAAAAGCAAGTGATAAGGCACCTAACCGATCGAAAAAGAAATGGGTTAAACCCGACTACAGATGGGTTCTGAAGGTTCACTAACCAAAATCTTCTAATGACTCTTAACATTTCTTCGCTTTCTGTATGCGATAAGCAGCATATGTCATGGGAGAGAGTAGCCTGCATGGATGAAAAAGGTCAACCCAGTTTCAAAATGGACTAGGTTCCAAAGACCAACTGATCCCGCTCTGTGTCGGAGCAGCTATGGAGGCATATCATCATATTTTAGTTTGTTGATAGTGGCTGTTCCAAGCACATGATATGAGACATCTCTCAACTGTACAACACTCAGAACTTAGTTTGAGAGTATGTGTCCTTTGCGGGAAAGGAAGAAAAGAAGAGGATCACAAATGGGGTTTGTGCTTAATGATGTGAAGAATTTTTGGATCTGTTCCGAGATTGAAACACAGCTAAGGCTGAATTCGTTGCTGCTTGTGTCTTCAATTGCTAACTTACGGTTTGAGTTTTCTTCTCGATACTCCTGAGTTTTTCTTAAATTGATTCGTTTTGAAGACAATCTTTTATTTTCTTATAGTTTTTGGTTTGTAGGTATTGTTTGGGAAATGATATGAGATTTAGTGATAAATGGCAAATTAAATTGCTTGACAACTTTGATCCCAAAAGTTTTCGTATTTTACTTTTGTTTTTGTTAAATTTGTTCATATTTTCTTATATGCACAAATTTTGGGGGAGAAAAATTAAAAAAACAAAACAAAAATTTATAAAATTTCAAAAATACAAAAATATTTTTATTTCTTTTTCAGAAAAATCAAAAATCCAAAAATATTGTTTTTTAGCGTATTTTACTTCTATTTTTTCTTAGTGTGCTAAGTTTACTTTTATTTTTTATGTTTATCTAAAAATTCATTTGTCTTGAAAAGTGAATTCAGAAGAAGATAGGACTCAAGGAGATTGTTGGGTCTAAAATATGGTTTATACTTTACTTTTCTAGGCAATTGTAGTTTTCTGTCTAGGACCGAAAACAACCTTGGGTTTGCGGTTGGGTGGTGTTTGCGGTCTGTTTACTGTTTACGGTTGTAAACGTGTTTGCAGCCACTGTTCCCTATATATAGTGTTAGTAGTTGTCAGATAGCAGTAGCCGTTTACAGTTGTATGTGTGTGTTTCGAGTCCATTGTACCTGACGTTTGCAGCCAATATAAACGTGTGCAATTTGGATCATTCTTGCTTCTACTCCTTGTTTTATCATTTTGGCTTGTTCTTTGTGCTAATCACTAGCTGGTTCTTAGTTTTTGGGGACTTACATATACAAATGGTACAAAGTGATTTGGAAAAGAGTTTTCAAGAACTATGCAAAGTATAGTGTTATTTTGAGAAAAATCGAGTTTTGTGTGTGTGCATACATGAAAACACAGCCCGTGTAAATGCATGCTTTAATTTACACGGCCCGCGTAATTCCTTGATTTGGAGATTTTCTTGTTTTCTTCATAACTTTTGCATACAGACTCGGATTTACGCACGATTTTCGCCTACATTCATATTTTTGCATGAGGAATGATTTGAAATAATGAAATTTAGTAATGGAAGCTATGAGGGGTATATTGGTCATTTTAATGACTTATGTCCATATATAGTGTAGGTAGTGTTTGAAGAGGATTGATCTAGGGAAAGGAACTAGAAGAGCATTAGCTAACCTATGTGTGATTGAGGTGAGTACGTGTTGGCATTTTTCCCACTTTGGGGTACATGAGAAAATGATTTTATGATAATGAAACGCAATGCTTTGATATATGAGCTATTTTGAAAAGAAAGTGTTAAATGTTTTTGGAAATAATTGTTTTGAAAGAATGCCTTGAAGGCAATAATCTTTTTGAAAGTAAAGAATGTTTTGGAAGATCGAATGTTTTGAAAAAGTGTTTGAAACGTTTTGAAATATAAATGCTTTACTTTTGAAACGAGTTTATGATACTAATGTATGAAATGTGTAAAGCATGGAAAGTAATGACAAGGAATGAAAAGTAATGAAAGGAATCGGAAAGTAATGAAATGAAAACTGTCCGAGCCATGATACCTCGTAAAAGGCACTAGAGGAATCTATCGGGGTGGCGCCTCCCCTTCGTGAGATAGATGTCCTAATGGAAATGATGCCTTGGTGGATTGATTTGTTCTTTCCACCTTGGTCTATACTTGAGAGTGGTTCCTTTATTGGACATAGACCCTAAGTATAAAATGGCAACGGTTTAATACCGAAATTAGCCCTTAATGATAAAATAAAATGGAATATGGAAATATGACTTCTGAAATGAAATGATAATATATGAAATGATATTTATGATGCTTACGAAACGAGTTTTCCTTGAAAAATGCTTGAAACTGATTTATGGTCTAAAACTATGTTTTGCAAAGATGAAAATGTTTTTGATGAAAAAGTGATAAAAATTTTGGGTCACAAACCTACATAGCTCACGATACATTTTTGTCTTAACTATCTCTTTTTAATGCTATGTATTCCAGGTTGCAATTAAGGAGAAAATTGATAGATGGAAGTTAGAAGATTAAGAGATAGAGAATAGAGTGGAACTTGTTAAGTTCCTTATTTAATGTTATTGATGTAATTCGTATTTGCTGGCTATGGTTGTATGATGCTTAATGGTAACACCCAAGGTTTTTACTGTAATTGTTTTTGTGGGGCCGGTTTTATGTTAAATGAGAGTTAATACCCAAATGTTTTTATAACCAGAACATTGAAAAAGTTTTGAAAAATTTGGGGTGTTACAAACTGATTCTCATTAATCAAACATATATAGGTTTACATAAAATAAAGGGATCGAGATATACACTCGACATCTTTTCTTTTAGAATGACTAACACACATACCTTCTAAATTCTACTCATAAACTACACCTTTAAAGGAGAAACCGAGGCGAAAACCCGACTAAACTAGAAAATTACAACCCCCATACCCATTACGCCACAAAACTACTTTACATTGTAGGACACTAGCTTTTCTATAGGGTTATGGAATATGTGTGTTACACAAGAAAGCAATAGAAAACAATAAAACAACACAAGAAATTTACATGATTTAATCGATGTGACCTACATCTATGGGCAAGCACCGAATAACTCTTTTTATTATAAGATTGTTTCAAAGTGATTACATTGGAATCTATAACTATGAATATTCATAAGCACAAAACCCTAGCAACTATAGGACCAAACCCATATACAAATAAATCCCTGATAATTAAACATGGACATACCACAGGAGGCTCGACTCCCCTACACCCCCATGGGATGAGTGTTTTTCGAGTACGCCAGCCCTAAGTCTACTCCAAACACTTATCTCGTTGATATATGTTGTCGGGTTTTCTTTACTTCTTTTCGGGTCATCAAATGCCAAGTCACATATTAACAATGTGTTAATAAAAACCATTAAACCTATATGTCAATTCTAAATGTTCCAAATTAGTTTTGATTAAATTCTAAATGTTGAAATTAGTTTTGTTTGAACTCTCTTATGCATATCTAGTGTCATACATGCTAATCAAAAGTTGTATCATCTTAATTATATTTTTTCGTTACTTTTTTTTTAAGAAAAGAGAGATTTTAAAACATTTTCCATTTCCTTTATTAAAGGTGTTTATAAATCAAAAACCTTGTACCTAGTACCTTTTTTAGGAAAAACAACATAACGTTTATAGAAAAACAACTATGGTCGGGTATTGAGGATGAAAGGAGTTGGAAACCATTGTTGTCGATGGAGATGTCAAACCGTTCTTGAATAAGATTATGAAAAAATGGAAATTAATATAGAGAACGGATATATCAAAACAATAATAATACATCATCAAATTCAAATATTTAAATAAATAATACTTTATAAACATATGTACATGACTATATATGAGTATATGAATCACCTTTATTTTCTTTTTTTCTTTTTTCATTTTTCTTATCTTGTAACGGCAAGAACAATCCACAAAACTTACGTGTAGTCCCAACACGTGTCGCAACACCAGGGCAAGAACAATCAGGATAAAATCCAAGCCGTCGATATTTGGCTATATACATTCTTAGCATCTGAGGGTCCCTCTTTCAGAAAGGATAAGTGGGTCTGCTCTTATCTAGGGTTTGTTCCCATTTTCTTCATCCCCCTAATTCTGATTATAATCTCAAAATCTCATTTTACTACACTCTTTTGTGTTTGATTTCAATCCAAACCCACAACCCAGATCACCCCTGTTCTTAATTTCCCCAAATTTGATCTCTTAATCTGTTTAATTTCGTTTTGTTTCAGAAAAGTTTTTGTTCGGATTCTTCATATATGGCGTCGATTGATAACAGGAGTGTTGTTGAATCAGAAGATGAAGAAGAAGACGGTGGCAACACCGCTAAAATTTTGTCAGCATCTGATCCGTTACTTGGTGATCCGGCGGTGTATACTATTACGGCGGTGCCTCACCGTCATGACTCGCCGCCTCCGATTGAAGTTAATCTGATGAAGGAAGAACCACCGGAGAACGATTTGGATGGTTCATTACCTCTAGCTATCGTCCCAATGCCAACATCTAATAAACAAATGACGGTGGCGACGCCGCGGAGGGCGAATAAGGATCGTCACACGAAGGTGGAAGGCCGTGGCCGGAGAATCCGCATGCCGGCGGCGTGTGCTGCTAGAATATTCCAGTTGACACGAGAACTAGGGCACAAGTCTGACGGCGAGACGATTCGGTGGTTGTTGGAGCACGCCGAGCCGGCTATCATTGAAGCCACCGGCACCGGGACGATGCCGGCGATCGCTGTTAACGTTAACGGGACGTTGAAAATTCCGACTACACCAAGCAATGCAGCAAGCGACGGAGAAGGTGGTGGGAAAAGACGAAAAAGGGCTTGTAACAGCGAGTTTTACGACGTGAATGATTCAGCTTCTTCCAATTTTGCCCCTGTGGCCCCAATAGCCCCACAAAGTCTCGTCCCCGTTTGGACCATGGGCGCAGCACCACCCACCGCCGGTATCCATGGCGGAGCTTTTTTTATGTTTCCACAGAGTGGGGCCACGGCCATCGGACCTTCCGCCGCCAACCAAACCCAGTTCTGGGCCATCCCCGCCAGCGCAACACCCGTTTTCAATGTCGCTGCAAGGCCCATTTCCAGTTATGTCTCCGCCATTCAACCCGGTGAGCATTCCGGCGGCGGCGAAATTCAAACACCGTCACGATCGGTATCATACAACAGCAGAAGTGAGAATAAATCAGGGAAGGTTTCAACAACCATGGCACCAAGTTCAAGTTCAGTTTCAACGACGACGACAACAGCTCAGATGCTTAGGGATTTCTCATTAGAGATTTACGATAAAAGGGAGCTTCAATTCATGGCTGGTTCATCTTCAACAGATGAAAAGCCATCTTCAAAACCTTCATCGTAATCCTCCTAACTTTTTTTTTTTTGGAAAATTTAACTCTTATTAGAAAATTAGAATCAAAAATATTATATAAATATTTGTTGGTTGATGTAACTTTTGTCTGATAATGAATTCATAGGAGGAGGTTTATGGGTTTATAAAATCTCGAAGAAAAGTTTACTTTTTCTTTCTCTTTAAAGCATCTAGCTTTTAGAAAGTGTTCTAAATTATAAACAAATTAAAATTAAAAAAAAAAGGAGAAAAATTAATTTGGTTATCACGTGAGTGATGGGAGATGGCACGTGCGGTTGTGGGGTCCACCACGTAGCCATGTGACGGCCCTTTCCCTAGGTGTGGGAGCCATTTTTCTAGCTTTTGAGGCGGCTGCGGTCCAGAAAACGCTAATTTTGCGGGGTAATGTGGGGACCACAAGTGGGTGAGTGTTTCCGGTTGTGACACGTGGAAGGATGCTAGCTGTAAAAGGATGGGAGGTTGTGTTGTGGGGTCAAAACAGACCTCTCGGTGCTTTGATATTTAATGGTCATCTAGTTCAGGGTGGAAACGGGAAAGTGGGCCATATAGCCCATAAGCATCGCACCATGTTTCTCTATCACCATATATCTTTGGTTTGAGAATATGTTAAAGAATGAATAAATATAAGGTTAAATTTTGGAAAAGTTTTTATATATTTATAGTTTTTATTGAAAAGTTATTTTAAAGTTCTTGAAAATTAATGATAGTTTGAAGTATATCGTATTGACTTGTTTTGGAATGTCTTAAGTTCTATTTGATTGGATGGTGGATTGTTTTGGAGTGGGGTGCTTTGGTATAACATCTTTCGAACATGATTGGAGTTTATCAATATAAAACATTATTTTCTTTGGATGTTACTACATTTATCTTATTTATTTATGTAAAAAGAGTCAAACATACATACTCATCACACAAGGGGACAGTGGGACACCAATATACTTATGTATACCTTTTTATAAAAAATAAACATATAATTAACTATTTCTGATTAGTTTTTTTTGGAAAACAATAAAATTTCAACCAATAAAATAATTAAATAACTTAAGAAGGTGTCTATATGTTGTCTATATGTTAAAAAATAAGATGTCTTTTTAGCTAAGTCTTATAAAATAAACTCTTTTTTTTTCTTAGAACAAAGGTAGATAAATAATAACTTAACATAAAAAAATAATAATTCTAATTGCCATTTTATTTGACGAAAACCACAATCGTTATGACTGGATGTTCGGAGTATCCTGTGCTAATTTTGCATTCAAGCAGTGGCAGACCTATGTGGATGTTTGGGGTAGCCCTTGCTAATGGATGTTCGGGGTATCCTGTACTAATTTTGTCATTCGAGCAAGGGAAGACCTATCTGGATGTTCGGGGTAGCCCTTGCTACTCAAATTTTTCTTGACTAGTTTTAAAAAATTTGATTATTTATTTATTTATAGGTGCAACTACCGAAAAACAATCAAGTAAATACTCTAAACTAAAAGAGCTTAATGTCAAAACAAAGTAGCCCAAAAGGTTTAATCAATTTGGGTCTTAGGATACCGAACTTAGTTGATGGAGGGAAGAAACAAAACAAACATCTATACTACAACGCCGCATGTCCCTACTTCGACCACTCGTCCACTCCCAACGACTTTTGCGGCAGATTGCATCGTCATTGTAGATATCCGACAATTCCACACCTCCAACGACTTCAGATAAACTTGGTCTAATATTACACAATTACCCTTTGCATCCCTATAATACTAAAGTATATTATATTCATCTAATATTCCCCACAAGCTAAGGTTGGGTAACGACCTGTAGCTTGGATCTTAACTCAGCAAACCGTTAGGATGACAATGACTTTGTAATGATATATGCAATATGATCATGTGTGGAAATGAATTGTAACGAGAGTTTCTGCTCAGCCACCTTTTCTTTGACAAAATGGAAATCAACTTCAACATGTTTCGTGCGAGCATGGAAGACCAGATTTGCTGATAAGTATGTAGCACCAAGTTACCACACCACAATACCGGGACATATGTCATAGAAACTCTAAGTTCTCAGAGAAGGGCTTCAAGCCAAGTGAGTTTAGCTACTATGTTAGCTAAGGCTTTGTAATCTGATTCCGTTGATGACCTATAGACAAATCATTGTTGTAAAACCCATAATTTTGGGCTAGTCATTTAGAGTAATAATCGTAGTAATTATACATTTTATCGAACAATTAAAATCATTAATTAAAATAATAGTTCTTCATATGTGTTATGAGATAATAAATAATTATCTTGTACACACTAACTGGACAATAATTAGGAGTATAGAATATTTGTAGAAAAACTTGAATATAGAGTCTATTGTTAAAACGATAAAATAAAGATTAAAAATAAAAGAATATTTAGGAAAAATATCCTTAACGAAAGTTGTAATAGTCGTGACGATGATTCTGTGGATATAAAGAACGTTCAAATCTAATTCGTATAAGGAAGTTATAATTTATCTAAGGTTCGTGTTTAAACCGATATGACAAGGTATGTCATAAAAAGTGAACCGAGATAGGTTGATCTTTAGCCGAAGTGATCAAAATGAAAGTTGTATTGCTCATCAATAGAAACTTCTCATTATAAAGAACACCAAAATCTGACTTCGTATGTAGAAGTTATGATTTTTCAAAGTTTCGAGTGCGACACAGTACATCAATGTGCGACACAGAAATCAAAATTAAAATTGGTTGATTATTAGCCAAAACATTGTAAACAAGAATTAAAGATCTCATAAATACGAATATATCGATATAAAGACAGTCGAGAACGGAGCTCGTATGTGAAGGATATAAGCGAAACTTGGTCCTTAAGTTTCGAAACGCAGGTGAAACCTGTTCAGTTTTGTGAAATTGAAATAAAGTGAGAATTAGCTGACATAGTCTAAATGAAAGTTGTAGTACTCACTGATACAAAGCCAGGGATATAAAGACAGTAAAAAACGGAGTTCATATGAAGAAGTTATGAATTTCGTAGCGTTATTTATAGTTCAAACATCCTCGAACCGAAACACGAAAAATAAATTGAAAATTAGCTGATGGAGTCCAAATGAAAGTTGTAGTACTCGTCAATTGCTATGCGTGGATATAAAGACCGTCGAAAACGGAGGTCGTATGCGAAAGTTATGAATTTTACAAATAATTACATTTCGGTGAATGAGGTAGCGACACGTGGCATCACTAGAGGGTGACACGTGTCACCATCTTAAGCCCCCTTCCTTCCCACAGAAATGAATGAGATGCTGCCACGTGGATAGGATGCGACACGCCTTCTTTTTTGCTATATATACGAGTGTTTTCTAGTTTATTTCTTTGTTCAGTCTTCTTCTTTTTTTCTCTCAAACTTTCCCGAGGCCTCGAGGCCTTGTTATAGTATTTCTTAAGTGTTAGTAGTGAAGCTCTAGTGCGTTAGAGAGCCCCGAGAAATAGAGATTTCGATTTCAAAAGTTCTGCCCACGTAATGTCTGGTTTTCATCAAACAACTTGTAAGTTGAGTTATGCTTACCGTGCTTTAACAATAACTTATATTTATGTTTATAATTGTTATTATAAACTTATAAATAAGATCTATCAGTAATACTTACGAGAATGATGACAAGGTAAGATTAGCTAGGTGTGTAAAGTGAATTTTCCAAACAATATATCTTTATATGCCAAACAGATCCTACATCTGATACGATCTTACCTAGTTGTTTCTTGTCAACTATACGTTAGTGTTTCATTCGGGATTATTGATAAATCTGAGAAAATTTTATAAAGATTAAAATTTATAAATACGAACAAATAATAAGGCTTAATAATATTCGTATTTATGTCGTTTTAAAGGAAAATCTAAAGCGTCAGTCAAGGATCTGACTTTTTCATGAGTCTTCCACCTACATCAGGTGAGCGCATAGTTACTTTCAAAAACATAATTTAATACCAGAACTTATTAAAATGTATTAAATATTTATTAAAAGTTTATATGTAAACTTTGATGTTATCATTTGAAATATTTGTTAAATGTGTATTTAATAACATGCATTATGTGAATCAGTTATGGTTAATTATTTGTTAAAATGTTTATATGATATTATTACGTGATAATCTTAAAAATAAGTATTTTTAATTAAAAAGATTACTACATCTTAAAATACTTAATACTCTGTTACGACAAGTGTCGTTTAAACAAGAGTTAATTTTAAAAGGCGATTACAAGGATTTTAATATCATCTAAGTTCTAAAATAAGACATATAAAGAATATTTAGATCCAGTTAAGTTAGATAAAAGAATAGTCGTGTGCTGTATTGAGATGGTACAATATAAACATGAAAATGGTTTGGAAATACATTATAAGCATTATAACCTTACATGAGAATAAAATAAGAATTATAAAGAATGCTTAGTTCAAGTTAAATTAAAAGAGTGTTTAGTTACACCTTGTGTTGTAAAATTATTACATAGATAGAAAATTGTGTTGATTATAGGCTTTGTAATCTTGTCTAGTTATACACTAGGACTTAGCAGAGATGTTATTATGCTTGGATTTTGGGTAGCATCATATTAAGGGCGTGTGCGATAGGAATAGAGAGTATACCTTTGTTATATGACACTATCCTGTGTTGATGTACGGTTTAAGTACCAGAATACGAATAGTATTCCTTTGGATAGTCAAAATTGGCAAGTCCAGATCAGATAGTCGGAGGGTATGTGTAGAACATCTTTTAGAGTAGGATGATAACACTTGACATTCTAGGCAGTCTTGTGAATTACGTTGCTAGTGTAGGTTCATTACCCACAGACATAGATGAAATGAAATACCATATTCAACAAATACTATGATGGCTTAAGTGCCTTTGTGACATATTCCAACCAAGGGAGCCCCTAGCCCTATAGTCAAACCATTGCTCTAAACGATTCCTCAGGAAAGGTGATTCTTCGTGATAATCATGGACTAGGATTTATGAGAATCGATTGGGATGTGTATGTATG